AACTCAGGTAACGAACAACTTTGGTTAATCTCCAAAATGGGATCCAGCAAAAATTTGATCAAATGATGTTGAGCCAAAAGCACTTTCATTCCTATATAAATATAAAATGACAAATGTAAAAATTCACAATGGATCTGTCCTTCATAACTAATTAAATTCTTATAAATCTATTTTAGAGTTTAGTCATAATACCTACCATCTATCATCAAGGAGGCAAGAGCATAGCATGATAGAGCATCGGTATCCATGAAAATATAATATGAGACCAATATATAAGATTTAACTTCCTTATTCATTTAACATCAACTGTTCATTATTGTAGAATCCAAAACGAAGTCATTTGAGTTGCTTTGCCATGCACATCAATTTTGGACAAAATCTGATAGTAGCATCACAACAACTTTAAATTTCTCAAACTGAATTCATGATATTTTCTGAGTTAAAAAGCAAGAAATTTGGTACGAGGTAATTGTTGCTTTGCACAAAGTTTTTCTAAAACTTAAGGGACTGCCATGTGGTATCGATTATGTTATCAATAATATGATAGATACAATAAATTTTAATTATTATCCAAATGAAGGAGATGTGAAATCGACTTGGTAGAATAGTTTTTTTCTATCGTTTTCTGCACCAAACAATGAAGCTGCAGTTTCAATTTATTATATTTGAAAATCAGAAATTTTTTTCATCATATGATAAATTCTATACTTGTAAATCTATTGATAATAATCAACAATATGTCGATATTTTTTGGTCATTATGTCTGCTTCTATATTGGTCACCATGTCTGCTTTCATATTAATTAGTTGAAAGATATAAATTAATTTACTGTGTGGTGGGGATTAAGGGGTGTTTGATGGGGATTTTAAGTTAATTAAAATCAATTTTTTGACTATTATTTCACTATTCTAACCATATTTTTGAATTTTTCTCTTACAAGTAGGACTCATTTTTATCTCTAACGGTTAAAAAATTAATTTTCAAAATTCCTACCAAGTACCCTCTAAGATCATATATTAGTAGATTTTTATAAAAGTTGGTGAAATGTATGATTGAAAAGTTATGGATCCCATAAAATGTGTAATTAAAATCAGTTGTTGATTTTAACTTATATGAAAATTTGAATTTTAATTTTTACCAAACAGGGACTAAATCTTTAGAAATCACAATAGATCACGTTAAAGCTAACACTTACTCTTTTAACATATATTTTTTTTAATGTGAAATCGCAGTACTCTTACTAGCAACATGTAAGGGCTTTACCATATATAACAATGACCTTTAAAAATAGACTTCTAAGAGTGAATATGATGTCTCAACACTAATAAGCTCAAACATATATTTCAATTAGACAATCCACTATCTTGCGATGCATGTTAAGAAAAAATTGAATATTAAATGTTATAAATTAATTAATGACACACCCCGCCTCGTGTAACACTACTAGATCCGAACGTGACATGCGCCGATGATATATACCAATTAAAAATCGGACACACCATCAAAGCTACTATAAATATAATATATCACTTTTATATATCATTTTTCTAACAGAATTTTGACATTATCTCCCCTATAAACAGGACTAATCAACCTGTGATTAATTTCACACAAATTCCAAATTATAGCACAGCACAATAAAGATAAGCCGAAATCTCAACATTTACCAAGAAATAAAATGAAATGTATATATGGGTACAAAATACATAGTGAGCCCCATAACTATCTACAAGTGATGTAAAATCACATCTAAACATAAACATGTGTCCCAAAACACCGACTACATATTCTATGAAGTGCATTATACTAACAAACTCTGTCGTGTGGTTCTAACTCCAAAATCAAGGCTCAACTCCAAAAGATGCCTAGATTCTCAACTGCTGCCTGATAAGGAAAAATATGAAAAAAAATATATGCGTCGATAGCTCTGTGAGTAGAGAAGTTCAAAATAAATGTACCTTTTCATTTATACATTTTTATTAAAAATCAAATTCATATCATTTGATAATTCACAAGCCACCATTATATAATTATAGCCAAAAAGTAAAATATTCACATAAGGTCATAAAATATCATTTTAAAATCATGACATAAATATCAGCTGATAACCATACTATAATCTCATCACATCAAACATGCTGAAAAATTCACCAAAAATGTACCCTCTGACTGAAATATGTAATCCGCCCTTCGGGCTAAGAACTTTCGCCACGGGCCTTTGGCCCCCTCCGTGAACGAAAATCGGTTTCAAAGATCTCTCATAATCAATTCTAAAACACGATCAAGACCCCTCTATGAACTATATGTACACGATCAAGACCAATGTCAGGTCAAGACCCTCCGTGTAGGATAGAACACGGCTAATGCCCCTCAGTGAACTAGAAGAAATATATAATCATGGGTATTTTTCTTGTCGATCTCAATATTATATGTCTTACATACCAAACAAATCTCAATATCACATGTCTCATATACCAAGTCACAAACGTACAATAAATAATCCTTAAAATTCCACATGTATCATAATAAAAGAGATTTCCATAATAATCATATAATCGGACACATAATTGCACATATTTTGATAATATACTTAATTTATAAATACTTAAAAATATTTATATTTTTCCACTCACAGAACTATGTATGCCAAAATCAACTTGATTGGTACGCTATCTCGATATCCGTATTGCCGCCTGAAATATGATATCATTTTTAAATCAATAATTAACTATTTTAAGAAATTTCATTAATTAAATAGGCTATACCCAAACTTAATTATTTCACGTTTAGGCGATTTCTAAAGTCTCTTTAATTACTAAAACTAACTTTTCTTTCATTTTACTCAATTTTATAGTTTATTATATTTAAACCTTTCAATAAAATTAAATTTAATCTAACAATCTAACAACTGTAAAATCGAACATAACTTACAATACATAACTTTTTATTTACCTTTCAAAATTGAGGAATTCAAGTTTAATATGATAGAGCACTTAATTCCTAACATATTGGCAATTTTTTTTTCTATTTTTTTCCCCTTTCTCTTTTCTCTCTTCTTCTTTCTCTCTGGTTTGTTTCCTTCGTGTGTGTTTGCTTTTAATTTAGTTTTGGGTTTTGTGTGTGTGTGTGTATTCAATTGGAATGGATTTGTTTTGGGCATCCACCACCTGCCGTTTTCTTTTAATTCTTTTTTTTTTTGTTTTTTGTCAAAGCATTACAATTAATTAAAAAAAAAAAAGTCAAAACCTAAAACTAAATAAAATATGTCAAAAAAAGAAAAAAAAAGAATTAAAATTTTTAGGCGGTGAATTCACGTACGTACAAATCCAAATACACACACAACACTAATCCATTTCCACACAAACACGCACAACACGAAGCGGTAAATTCACGTACGTACAAATCCAATTAATTTTAGAATTGTTAGATTATTAGTTTAAAATTCACTTTTATTGAAAGGGGACTATTGAATTAAGTTTAATAAGCTATGCAATTAAGTTAAATGGAAGAAAAATTAGTTTAAGTGATTAAAGAAACTTTAGAAATCGCTTAAATATGAAAAAAAGATTTAGTTTTAGTATTGCCTATCTAATTATTAGAATTTCATAAAATAGTTAGTTGTTAATCTAAATATTATATCATATTTCAGGTGGTGATATGGATATTGGGATAACTTACCAACCGAGTTGATTTTGTGTACATAATTGAGTGGAAAAACTTAAATATTTTCAAGTATTGATAAATTAATAATATTATTACATTATGTGCGATTTTATGCAATTATGTGTTTGATTATATGATTATTATGGAAAATTTCTTTTACTATGATACATTTGAAATTTCAAAAATTGTTTATGGTATATTTGTAAATCGGAATGTGAGACATGTGATATTGAGATGGACCAAAAAAATATCCATGTTTATATACTTCTTCTAATTCAATGAGAGGCCTCGATCGTACTCTATACTACACTGAGGCGTCTTGATTGTGGATGAAAGGGTTTGATCGTGTACATATAGTTCATCGAGAGGTTTTAACCATGTTTAAAATTGATTACGGGAGGTCTTTGAGACCTGCTTCCATTCACTGAGGGGACCTGAGGCCTGTGTTGGGAGTGATTAGTTTGAGGGGTAGTCTATGCGCATATGACTAAATTACATATTTCAGTCAAAGTGTACATTTTTTGTGGATATTAGAGTACATTTGATGGGCTTAGATGAATGTATAGATTTCAGTTGATGATTATATCATGATGATGAGATGATATTTTTCAGTCTTATAAGGATGTCTGACATCATGATTATCATTATATGCTGTTATATTGTGAACTGTTAAAAGATGTAAACTCGATTTTTGATAAAATGTAGAAATGAAAAAGTATATTTATTTTCGAACTTCTCCGCTCACCGAGTTATCAATTCATTTATTTTCTCACGATTTTTCTTATTAGATAGCAGTTGAGTTTTTCCGCATATTTTGGAGTTAAGCTTTTAATTTTGAAGTCAGAGCTACACGATAGTATTTACTAATATGAATCATTTCATGGAGCATGTAATCAGTGTTTTGGGACACTTGTCCATTTTTTGGATGAAACTTAGTAGATAACTATGAGGCTCACAATATATTTTGTATCCATGTGTATATTTCATGTTAGTGTCGTAGTAAAGTTAAGAATTCGACTTATCTCTATTGTGTTGTATTATTTTGGAATTGGTATATAGTGAATTACAGGTTGATTAATCCTAACTACAAGGGAAATAATGCCAAAATTTTATTAAAAATAATTTATAAAAATGTACATATTGTAGTAGTTTTGATGGTAGATCTAACTTTGGGTTGGTATTTATTATTGGCGCATGTCACGTTCCGAGTCTACTAAGTGTTGAACTACTCTAGGAAATATTAGCAATTATATTCCTTCAGTCTCTCATTTTTTTTTTTCAAGAAATAATGCACGGAAATTAAGTTATGAATCCTCCGTTGGACCCAAACAACAACCTTAAATTTAAGTATTACGTATATTTATAACATACAGAATATAATAATTATCATGTGGTAACTATACAATTATGATAAACTACACCTTGCTAAAATTACTTAATTTCTACTTTTTAATTATGTATTTGTCTAGAGAGAGGAAGAAAAACAAAAATAATCCGCTAACCATAATACAGACCAACTCAGAAGAAGATTTTCTTATTTTAATCATCGTATAATTTAGCTCTAACATCCTCCAAAGTCTCTAACTAAAAAGGGACTCTTCTCCGGTAGGTTTCCGGCATGACGTAGCCCTAGCGTGAGCGACACGTCACCTGCACTCGTCCCAAATCTTATAAGCGTCGATTCATTAATATCAGCATTTCCAGAATCAGTATTGGCAGTCCCATATTGGTGGCGCGCTGCTGCCGGAAAGGATTGCGCTGCCATGGCGGAGGCGGAATCAGGCATTATGTTGGGTTGTTTTGCCTGGTTTTCCGAGGAAGAGTGAGTATTAATTGCAATGAATGAAGGGTCGTTTTCTGGTCCATTGATTTGGGATCTTTTGCCTGATGGAGTAATTGCAGAAGCAGTAGCAGCTGTCTCAGCAGCAATGGCGGAATTGGCCTGCATTGAAGTTTGTGCATTAGTCTCTCTCTCTTCTGCCTCTTCTTCTGTGGCCTCTTGTTGATACATCTCCTCTACCATGGGTTTCCACAAACGGACCCTAGCATTAATGAACCAGTTTGAGACCTGAAATTGAAAACACACGCAACAAGCAAATTCAAAATCATTAAACCATAAGAGTCAAGATTGCACTTCAATTGACTGACGCTGGTAGATTCAATGACTTCATGGAATTTAGTGATGTTTAGTAATTATGCGGCGCCTACTAATGTAAAAATGCAAATTTAAAGATTTTGATGTCATTTTCCCTGTTGAGTCAATAAATAGTACAAAGAAATAAGTTGGGTTGATTATAGAGCAGTAGTAAACAAGATTTTGATGTATTGTTCTTACATAATACCTTCAATACCTCTAATGTTTCATAAAACATATGCCACAATAGTTTAAGGATTAAGGGTAGTTAAAGTTTACATTCTTACATATTTTCATGAATAAAGATTTATTTTATCTTTTCATTGTCTGAACAGTGATTATTCAAAACCAGGCAACTTTCTTGTCTACACTAGAGGGGTGGTATGCATGAGGCTACGTTAATTGCAGCTAAAACATACACATAAATTCTATCTTTATAGAACTGAAACATGATAGAAATTAGGAAGAAAAAATTTAGCAAAAATCTTTTTCCAGTACAAATTCATTTATCTTGAATGGATTTCAATGTTTGGTGGACATAAGAGAGAGGAGTGACTAGATTTCTTTGTTTGAACATAAAGGAAAATAGAAAGCTGCAAACTTTCATGTCTCACTCTCATGTACTTGCTTCTACTGTTAATTGACAGTGATTTTTTTTTTCTCCTCTCTATTTCAGATATCTCTTTGTGGGAAAGAATCCAATGAAACAAAAGAAATATAAAAAAAGTCTGGAACTTTTTCTTAAAACAGAAAGAAGTATAAAATTCCAAATTCATACAAAATCTCTCGCTCTCTCTCTCAGAATAGTAAAAAAGAAATCTTGTTTTCAATATCACAATAAAATAAGTTTCATCAAATTGTGTCATGCAAATAGTGAAAGATAAACGTGATTACGAAAAAATAAATAAATAAGAACCTGGTTTCTTGATAGACCGGTCTGTCGAGCCAACAGATGCTTATCTGCATCGCTTGGATACCTGAGAAAGAGAACAGAAAAGAAAAGGACATTACATTCAGAATTCTTACCCAAACCATATAAAGAGATGCACAAGCTTTATACGTTGTTCCGTAAATTGGATCTAAAGCTTTCTTTACTTTTTTTCCTGCGTGGGCATTAAAATCTAAGAGGGAAAAATAATAATCAGTTGCAGCAGGCAGTACAGCAGCAGATTCAGAAGTAAAGTGGACAACTGCTGGCCCAGTCACCCCTCTTTTAACGTTTACAACATCCATACTAGCATGCAAAAAGGGACCTAGGAATACTGTATTCATACAATTGTAGGTTCAAGTCCAAATACATTGTTTAGTTGTTATACTGATAACGACGAAGAGTATCTTAGCGGAGGGGGCCATGCAAGAGCCTAAATGGACAAGTTTTGAGAAGTATATCACGTGTCAAAGTGTGGAATCATGATAACATTACTACAAGTGCCTGCCAGTTAATAGAGCCCTTTCCATGTTGTGATGAAGAAGCCAGCTAGAAACTGATGGGATCTTATACGTTTTGCTGTTAATAATTATAAAGCCAATGTAATTGAGACAGAATACTGAAAGAATCGAGAGAACGTGAAATAACACTGTGATATAGTTCTGTACCTTCGAAGTTTAAGGATGATCACAAGAAGAAAAGAAAAAAGGAAAGAAAAAGTTGAAATGTATGAAGCATCGTCTAATCATAGAACTCTGTAATAATTTAATGAATTATTAGAGATGAACTTTTTGTTAAAAAGATTCAGTTAAAACGAATTAGTTGAAAGAAAAAGGGGCTGGAAAAAACGTACGGATGCAGAAAATGCTCAAAAAGCCAAGCTCTCAAAATGTTGACAGAGCGTTCGGGCAAGCCTCTTTGGGGTCTCCATGCTTCTTGTTCCATCATTCCCATTTGATGAAATGCTCTTTGCTGTCTAAGGCTTTGTTCCAAAATTCGAAGCCTTGGAGTCTCTCCTTTTGTCACTCCTGATAAACCAGCAGCATCTTTTTCTCCTAATAGCTCACAGCAGTGTTTCAATTGTGCTGCTATGGCATCTTTCAGGCACCGGAAATGGCGAGACATGGCTTTCTGTGCAAGAGATGTGTATGGCACGGCCGCCCCGAAACCCATCACCATGTCAAAAGAATTCACCACCATTTGCATTTGCTCGCAATAATGGTTGTATTTTTTATCCACCTGCAAAACAATTCTAGATCAATGATTAGGGGATGTTCGGCTGAGCTAAATAATTCAAAATTACTAGTAGACTTTATCATCATTATTGCACTTAAATAATTGTTGAATAGAGTGTGGTACAGGGAAATGATTGTCGATATTTTTGTAGAATATATGTCCATCTCTCTATTGTTATGCCATCTTTTTCCCAATACAGACACCAAGATTTGCTACAAAGGACTAGGTTTATTTGCATAATCCAATGTTAATGGAAAGAAAATCAATTGTCAAGTCAACTGATGGGACATCGATTGACTTATAAAAGTTGGGACAAGAAAATGAGAAATCCATCCATGTAAGGAATGCCGAATGCGGCTAAATTCCCAATCAGATAGAAACATTTTACCTGCTGGACATGTTTCTCGCAGCGTTGGTTGTTAGTCTCTCATGGTTTCACCAAATGAAAATTCTATATGGCCTAATTATGCCCCACTACTATTAATAAATAAAATTTTGGGTTTAGATATATTTTAGGAAATTAAACAAATTCAATCTAGGGTAGCCAGCCTCGCCAAAAATAAATGATTTCTGGGATACTTACCAGGATTTTGTGTCCCATGGTGGATTTTATAAAAGAATGAACTAAACTAATAATAGTATTTGACCCTTGACGAGATATAGAGCGAGAAATTAAAAAGAGAGAGAGAGAGAGAGAGAGAGAGTGACTGATTACATGCCTCATCAAGCATAGATGATAGTTTAACCTTCCTTCTCTGATGCTCGAGCCTATCAGCAGCTGATAACGGAGAAGGATCTTTTGAAGAAGATGATGAATTTCCACCGCCACCACCGGAGCCACTTGGGTTAGAACTAGGGTTTGCATTATTCTGCTTACCAAATTTGTTCTTCTTGAATTGAGACCTACCAACACTACAAAATTCTTCCAATAATTCTTGGGCAGCCTTAGCGTACTTTGAATTCCTTAACATATGGACCGATGAAAAGGAAGACCCTACGCCGACATGTAGCTGGTGGTTCGGACCCACTACCCCTTGTAAATGCAGTGGCTGATTACCAACGCCATCACCCAGATTCTTGAATTGGTACGGTGTTGAAGTTGACCCGCCACCTTGACCAAAAAATAGCATCCCTCCTTCTCCAATTCTCAATTCCTCAGCCTTGGCTGCTTCCAAGTGTTGTAATGAAGAAGATAATGACAAAGAAAGCCCTTGCCCTTCCACAACTCCCGGAATTTCATTAGGGTTGGTTTCATTGCCAATGTTTGGAGCCCAGGTAAATTGGGATGCGACGCCGTTAAAAGCCCCTCCTTGGCTATGGAAAGCTTGGAGAGTGGAAGAAGGAGGAGGATTTGGAAGCAACATGTGGAGGGTAGACGAAGATGAAGGCTGAGAAGTATGATGAGAGTGAGATGGTGAAGGTGACCTTTGCTGTTGTGGATTTATCAAGAAAAACTGCATGGCTGCTGCAGAGTCGGCATTAATGCCTGAAATCTGATTCTGGTGGTGATGATGAGCAGTTTCATTGACTACAGTCTGTTCCTTTGAATCCCCCAAATGCCCCAAACCACCCACCACCAGCCCTTGCCGATTGGAAAACCACTGGCTAGAGGCGGCTCCGGTAGGCGGAGTTTGTCTTGAATTCCGGTAATTCTGTGATATCTGGTTCTCTAATAATTCTGTAGCTGTGGAAGTACCAGAGGGAAAATTGAACATTTCAGACAACATCCCTGCGGTTTCATACACTGGAAGTCCACCGGATACTTCTTCCATACCTACCAATGGCGTTGGAGGCTCAAAGCCTTGAACTCTAAGTTTATCCGGGCGGATCTGTTGCGCTACGAGTTGCTGCTGCTGCTGCTGTTGTTCTTGTCGTGATCTTTCGAATCCATTTGAGAAACTGAAAATACCTTGATGAAATTCTTGGGACATAGAATTCGAGTAATATTCTTTATCCAAGATTTCAATTAAATTGTGAACTTTCGAATGAGAAGTAACAGAAGGGAGTGGCGCAGCTGCTATTACCATATCAGTCTATTGTTCTTCATTATAACGTCCTTTTTAGCCCTCCTGACAACTGCCCACCTTCTTTCTTATTGTCTGCTCAGTTTTGCATCGGATCCATCCAAGAAAAGAAAAACCCGTTATGGAATTTCGAGTTTTGTTCATCAAAATTGTAAGTCAGCATAGAAAATAACACAAGATTATAGAAGAGCAAAAAGAGAAGAATAAATAAGGAAGTAAGGAGTAAAAGTGAAAGCATCAAATGAGTCTTTTGCTGTGGTTCACATAAAAATTTATGCTTTAACAATTCATGTTTGTACACATACATACCACTTATAGTTGCAGGTTGTAAAAGTGTACAGAGCTCTCACACATCGTTTTCTTTTTCTGTGGTATTCCAAAAAATAAAAAATAAACTCTTGAACTCTTCTTCATAAAATTTCTTACTCAGTCCATTACCTTGCTATCTCTATATCTGTCTGTTGTTTCTGAGGCTGTCGTTTCTCTCTATATCTTTCTCTTTCTATCCTTGTTTTCCCTTTGCACTGAGAAAGTTGTTGTTCTCTGCAATCGCCTTCTCGAAAGAGAGACCAACAAAAACAAAAGCATTAAAATAAAGAAATAAGATGCCTTCTTAAGAGTTAAGAATATTTTTTTTATTTTAAAATTTTTTTTTCCTTCTCCAACTTGCAAAGAAACTTTAAAAGATTGGTTTTCACGACCCAGCTGAAGACAGAGATAGCAGACCTGAATTATTAATCTCAATTTTGGAATGACGAGAGTACCCCTCTCCATAATATGAGGAGTGGAGAGAACATTTATCTAGAAAATAACTTAGCAATTTATGAAGGGAAAGGAAAAACAAGAGAAGAAAAATTTGGGAAAAAGAAATATAGTATAAAGTATAATTAAGTTGGACACCAACAAGGTAACATGATACCATGATGAATCGGGCATTTGTATTGAAAAGAGTTACCTAGTATTAGTAGAGACGAATCATCGATTAAGTGATAATGGACCCCCTTATTCATTTTCAACAGAATTGTGATGCACTTTACTGCTTTTGAAAATGAAGTAGGGAATACTATTACCACGTAACTAGTATTGCATCTTTACTAATATAGCATTACAATTTTGTATTTTTACAATATTGTGCTTTAGTTTTGAGTTTTTACACTTGATGTGCATCTTTGGAGCTTCACTACATAAAATTTCTTTGTTATGCCTCCTCAACACATGGAGGTCATGTGTAAGCCATGCAGGAATTGGAGGCAATATAAGACACATCTATCACATCACTCCACTTCGCGTGGAAACCATGCGCAACACATGAACCTTGCAAGGTTTCCTCAAAAGCCAAGGGTGCCTCGCCAAAGACAGTAACCAACACTCGAAGTATGTGAAAGCGTTGTTTAATCAGGGTCGTATTATCGCATGTTCGTAAGGTTGCAATTCCAACTTATGAGGGTATACCCAGAAAGGTGGCTCGCCTATGGATCACGAACCTCCAGTTAAGGCAAAGGGCATGAACCTAATGTTCAATAGGGATGACAACGAGTTGAGCCGAGTCGGCTCGTGAGCCGAAAATCAAGGCTCGGGCTCAGCTCGAGCTTTTTGAAGACAGGCTTTTTTGGTTTGAGCCGAGCCGAGCAAAAGCTTGGCCAAAAAATCAAGGCTAGCTCGGGCCTTACCGAGCCAAAACGGGCCGCGCCGAGCCGGATCGTTTTTTTCCCACTTTTTTTTTCCCCTTAAAAGTTGATAGCTGCCTTTACAAAGGTAGCAATCATTTTATTTTTGCGAGTCGGCCTGTGAGCCACACGGGCCGACTTGGGCTCGGCCCGAGCCTAGCCGAGCCACGGGCGGTCCGAGCCCTTGAGCCTTTTTGCCATCCCTAAATTGTTCAATCACCTCACAAGTCAAAGGAAATAGGGATGAAGCCTTTGCTTTGGAAGAATTCTCTTGTTTCTCTCCTTCAAATTGAATTTGATAGTTAGGGTAGAACCCACAGGATCTTCCTAAGATGAAAATCTTCAAACACCTTTATTCTTGCTGCAATGCTTTCACCATTTAGAAAGATTGTAGAACTATCAAAAATTATTTGAGTGATGTAGCAAGGGACACGCAGCCATGTGCGCGATGATGATTATTGAAAATTATACAGTTTGACCTAATTAACACCTAGGTGTTTATGCCAAATTTAAATGATTTAATTAATAATTGCAACAAGTCATAGTTATTAATTAGTGTAGATGATTTCACATGCAATTTATCCTATGTTGAATTGTCACGGTATAGTAAATTGCAAAAAAGTAAATAACACAAGATAATTGTTGACGGAGAAAATCCCTTGTAGGATTAAAAATTTCGAGCCCAAGTTAGTATAAATCCACTATAAACGAATCAACTTACAGCAGACTCAACCAACACAAAGTACTTTTTAACTTCCTAATTGTAATTCCCGAAGGCCTTCTGGATAGCATGCACCTATACCAACTTCCAACTTTTTGATTTTGTATCTCCTGTGGATTCTCGATAACTTCTTGTTCTCCAACAATCGGGACTTCAGTCACCTTTCTTGATCTTCAACCTTTGATAAATGCTCTGGAAGTATGGGTTTTGGTGTTTGATTTCTGGACTTTTGATGTTTTCAATTGCAAAACTTTAGCATGAAAGGATTGAAATATATGAATGTAGTATATGAAGTTTCTCACAATATTCAATCCAAAAATTTCGTGAAGAGGCGTAGTTATATAATGGATGTTTTGGATAGTATAGGCGTGTTAAAATTCTTGAAAATTGCATATTAGGGTTTCTCGGTATGTACCATTGCTCGACCAAAAGCCCAGTGACAAGCGAGCGACAGCGTTTCACTCGAATGAAGACTCGACGACAAGTTATTGAAGTTCATTATGTTTTTGTCGCTCAAGCAACAACTTAGCGGCAGGTTTCCAAGATTCCAACAACTTTTCTTGTATTCTAAAGAAGTTTCTCGATGACTTTTGACTTATTCAAATAAACTATCACTCGACCCTTTGACTTTTTAAAACATTTTTACAACTATATTTTTATTCGCGAACTGTTAACAACTTTAAAACCCAACAATAATAAAAGAAACAAATCATAGATATGAAGTGACGTGTGTCCAAAAATGCCTCGGCACTCTAATTCCATATAAACATCCTAAGCTTGATCATAGAAAATGTGTGCAATATTCAAACTCTAGTCAAAATTATATCCATTTATTTCTCTCTTACTTAATATAAATGTTCATTAACTGATTTGATCGTCACAGTGCAAACAGTCCCCAAACTTCCACTTGGGGAAATGGCCTTTTCAAGTCAATGGTGTCCAAGTGTGCACGAAATTCGTAGGTGAACATTGAGGTGGCAAGGGAACTATTGACAGTCGGGTTGTTCAAGTTTGGAGGTCATCAGTTGTATGATTTTAAAAGTTTATGCAGAGTTCACCTATCACATCAATTTTTCTCTTGATTTAGCAAATTGAGGTATTTTAACACTTAGATTGAAACAAAATATATTCTTTGAACCTATTAGAAATAGTAAAATAAAGATTTAGTAATCAAAATTAAATAATATCGTAAGTTGGATGATTAACAATTTCTTTAGACACAGAATTAAAGAATAAAAAGTTAAAATTATGTACGAACAAGTAGAATCATTTACTCTTTGCTGATTGAGCTTCGAATCAAATATGCGAGTCTTTGAAGTTTTACATTAATTCTTATAGATATATTTAGTATATTAGTTGAATTTTTTAGACAATTTTAAATAGTCACAGGTAGACTCAACTAGATATCTTTTTCTAAATATATGTAACAAGTCTTATACTCTTGTACATGCCTTTGAACCATAGACAAGACATTTCGTGGAATGAAAGAGTGCAACAGAACACATTACACAATTCATAAGATAGAATATCTTTTGCACGTTACATATTTAAATTTTTGTTAGGTGTTTAATTAAATAAATGATAAGAATATTGTCTTCTTGCTGGCAATGAATCACCAAAACAGGCCCTTTGGCGACTAACTACTGCAAATGAATTAGACAATATAAAAATCATCAAGTGAGTACAAAGTCAATCTATCCTATGTTCACAAGAAATGAGGTTCTTGTTTACAATTTGAGATTTAAAGCATATTTCATACTCGGTAATGATATTAATATATAACATAGTAGATTGTCTAACCTATCAAATATTCGGTTGTTGAGAATTACATATTGTAATCCTATCACCACGAGCAATAAAATCACAAAAAAGAAATAGACACAAAAAACATGCAAAAATTATAGAAGTTTACTTCAATGTGAAACTACGTCATATTTCGTCATTACAATAATTTATTATGAAGAAAAGAAATTAAAAAGAGATAATCGCACACTCAATGTCTTTAACCTCTATCTTTTTGGTCATAATAAAAATCTAATGACAGCTCCCCATGAATAAGACGAACTAGAGCAAAATTAAAATTACAAATGTAAAATTTCTAAACTGTATTCTTAATGAAATTTCTAAATCCATTCACATACTGGCTCCGCACAGTGATAATAATTAGGTTTCACAGCTTAACATCATTAATAATATTTTAACCACCCATTGCTTAGGCTTCATTAATATGACCATATTGTCCTTGTTCATTCTATACATGATGGAGACATTGTGATCTAATTTGTGGGATAACTCTCTCTGAAATCATAAGATGATGGCATGTGCGAAAGGTAGGGCTCTGGGTGGGTTAGGTTTGTACGGGGAGTAGGGGTTTGAAAGCCAAGTATAACGGATTCACAATTTGGTAATGCCAAGAAAATACGTTTTCATTTATACCATTTCACAAGGTTTCGTTCAACAGGTGTTTTTTGCTTCACCATACAATTGAAGATCCTTTTATCACTAATTTTTTTTTCCCTTCTCAAACAGGATAATTAAACTGTATAAGAAATTTTATGAATATAATGTAAATTGTTTAACTTAGACAATAATTCACAATCAAGAATACGAAAACGATGTCATTTTGTTAATTTGTTCATTGGTAGATGAAGTACTCGTGTTACGTTTTCATTTGTAAAAATATATTTAGGTTGTCAAGTCTGTCTCCCGTTCTCTTCTTCTTATCTTCAGGGCCAACTACCACTTCAGTTACGTGACTTTATTAAATCCATTTTCTAAGGAAAATACCCTTTTCCAAGTATTCCTGTATAGATCGTTTTATAACGGTGTTCGTTTTGATTTCAGTTGTTTTAAGTACATCTCAATCCTAGTTCATCTCAATCCTAGTTGTTACTATTTCTTTTATATCTTCATAC